CAAGTTAGAAAATAGTTTTATTTGCCAATTTTCGGTATTCATTCTTTTTAAGGCAATTTTCATATTGAGAAAGTTTTTTTTCGACCAAAAATTTGGTGAAAAGCTATAGTAATCGAGAAAAAAAACTCTAGGTTACGGTGATTTTCGTTACGGGAACCACTGACCAGGCCCACAAGCTTTCCTCATCCACAACTCCGATTTTTGTTCCAGAATAATAATAATTATCAAAAAATAAATCAACAGAAATTTCAGAGTTCGAAAAAATTACTTTAAAAAAATGCAGTTCTTGGATAATGAAAAATCAGTTGCTTTCTTTACCGGAACATCTGCCCATTATCTAACAAAACACCAGATTTCTAAATGAAAAAATGAAGAATTTGTTTTTAAAAATATTCAAGCAAAATTTGATATCATGTTACTTTCTCATGACTAATCCCGGCCCGTTACAAGTATGCTAAATGGGTTTGTTGCTCCGAATTCAAAAAATGAAAAATATTCTAGATTAAAAAGATGGAATTCAATTTTCTTGGGCCTTCAAAACAAGAATGACGAAATTTTTTGTCATAAGATATTGAAAAACGAACTTTGTATTCCCTTGAGATGGTCCAAATAATATTTTAGAGACGAGCGTGATGTAGGTCAGGAAACATGACTTTTAGAAGAATCCAAATTCAAGGGGGTTTGAGGAAATAGCTGAAATCGTGAACTTTATGATCTTCAGGACTATGAGAACGCAGTTGTGTTGAAAATGGAAAAAAGCCAAAAAGTTCCGAAATGATTGAAAAACAAACTTCAACTATAATTTGTAGTCTATAAAGTTTTCTAATAGATGCACCTAAACAAGCACTTTGAGCTCAATCATCTTGGTTCCTGTGGGAGATATCAAACATTCGTTAACTGATGAATTGTCTTTCATAATATCACTAATATTTTATCAGTTGGCTTAAACTTGATATCTCACACAGGAATCGAGGATAATTAAACTAAAAGTTGACAGATTCGAGTGGGCTATCATCAAAAGAAATACGGTATTTATAATTTTGAGAATCGTAAAAAATACTAATAGTAAATAATACAATTGTACCTTAAGGGTTTCTGTCTTGACCCTTAAGGGTTTCTGTCTTGATGTCAACTATTCTGTTCAATACTTTCCATAATTTCAAATGAGTAAACCATAATTGCTTCTGGAATTTTTTTTCCAGCCCTTATCGGACAGTCGAAAACTAAAGTTTCAAACATTCATATCTTTTTAAAATGCGCCGTACATGCGAAACTTCATGTTACTTCTTGTCTTCCCAATTTTTCCATTTGAATTGTTTTCCATTTGGAAAAAACTGAAGGTCCAGCTCCAAGATTCCTAATATTGATTCGATTTGAAATTCCAAGGTAAACCGCTGAAAATAAACATATCTGACGTCTTACTGATTTTACAATCTTGTTTCCAAAAACAATCCAAAAGAAGATTCAATTCTGGAAGTTTTAGTCGGCACGATATGTTTGTAGATCCACAAACAGGGTCAATGTATATCACCAACTTCTTGGTTCTGTTTTTTCCGAATAATCCATAAGATCATCCACATTTTCCTCGTCATTATACTCTTATCTATAGGTCTACATCCTGTCAGCCTACCCACTCATTATGTTGTCGTTTCCCCCTACAAAAATATGCACATCAACTGTTTGAAATGCTGTCGTAGAGCTCTTCCCATAGGCATTATGTTAGTCATTTCCCTGCGTTATATGAGAATACGGATTCTTTTTCATTAACATTTTGACCATTCCCAAAGAAAGCCAGAAAACAACTTACTCACCTCAAACTCTGATCATCACTATTCTGAAGTGCTCCTCTCATCTATTCAAGTGGAATTTAATTGAATTCTCTCCCTGACTCTTGAAGTCACCCCTATGTTTTCAAACCCTCCTGAATATGCTTACTACATAATTCTGAATTTCTGAAGATTTTCGATCAAATCATTCATCATAAGGATTATGTCTCGACTGCGTGAAAAAACGAGAATGTAGGGTAGAAATCGAAATTCGGGTGTTGAATTTCGTTTCGTTTTTGGTCGGTGAAAAATGATTTTCTTGTTTGATGTCTACGGAGTTATTTTTGGTAAAAAGGAGAGGAGGAGGAGCACGAGAATCATAAGAGGACCTCTTGTTTTTTGACAGATTGATGGAATAGTTGAGACTCATTGAAACTTTCACCCTGTTTTTTTCTTCTCAATTTTGTTTTGTTTTCAGAATTTGAATCAGATCAAATGTGATTCAGAGCTTCATATTTCCAAATATTCTTTAAGCCTTCTTCTGTTTTGAAATCAGTTCACTGCTTGAAACGTTAAAACATGCTTGCATTGGGCTGGGCCAGGCTTTTTTCAGGATTTTCAAAGCTCGGCCGCCCCGGCCAGGGCGGATTTTCAGTAACTTGTTTCTTCTAATATCACTTCAAAACAAAAACATTTGAAAAAATTTCTGAAATTTCAAGTTTTTTCGAATGTGGAAACCCCACGCCCGGCCAATCCAACGGACCGGGCCCTGACTTTTCAAGTTTGCCCTGACTATAATACTAAAATACACTCTTATAAGAAATGCTCATTCAAGCAATCCTCAGACAAAATGAGGAAGTTGAAAAACTATAATATTTTCTGCATGTGAAATTCATCAGAAGTCATCTGACGTGCAACTGAAAGTCCTCAGCAAATTTTCGGCACGCCAGGGCACAGAGGGGCACAGGATCCGCATCCAAACGGCACCGTGCCGCGTTGAAAGTGCCCTTGGAACACCGCACCCGTGCCCCTAGCAAGCATGTGGCGTGCCGCTACCGTGCCGCTGCCGTGCCCTTTCTTGAACCACCTGCGCATATCGTCTCTATCCATAGTTTCGAAAATGTTGCGAAAATAGCTTGTCATTCATTTTCATAAATTTTTGTACTTTTCACCGTTTTATGGCATTTGGTTTTGTTTTTCTAGGCTTTCAGGTGGAAAATCATGAAATATATTTCTGTTTAGTTTTCAGACATTGGCTGTACCAGATGTCCCGTTGGAAGAGACACCGAAGTAAAATAGGGGGAAAGAATTTCAAATAACGGCACACATGAGCACGGATACGGCACGGCAACGGCACGCAAAATGCATGCGTGCCCCGACCCCCCGGGCACGATTACCGCGTTGCAGCGGCACCGGTGCCCCAAGTAGCGGCACATGTGCCAAAAATTTGCTGAGTCCATAGATTCTTTTCTCGATTCTTTATTTTTCACTTGAACGCTTTCGCTAGAATTTCCTAGAATTTCTATCCAATCAAAAGAGCAACAAATTTTTGCTTTCAAGTTCCAAAAATTTCCTTCCACTAGACATCTTTCTATCATCTTTTATCCAGCCCCTCTTTTCCCAAAGAACGCAACTTTTCGATTCAATTTTCCCTCTCTATTTTTACATGCTTCTCCTTCTTTTTCTTCTTTTTTCTTAACTTTTTCGGGTTTTCTCAAAACCAAAATCCATCGTTTCTTCTACTAAAATGTATTCAGTGACCTCACAAATCCCTCGAGAACTTCTCATTTTTCTTTTTTCTAAATTTATTTCCACCGAAAATGTAGTTCTCCAGACTCTTACTGAAAAAGAAGATGGAGTAGACTGGGCAACATACAAAAAGAGCAGAAAATCCAATTTCCGTTTTTTTTTTTGGAAGAAAAGTTATATTTCTTTCCTGTTTCTTGTTAATTTGGTCTGAAAAAAAACATCCTGAAAGACTGACTAATCTAATTTCGAGTATCAAAAAAAGTTAGCTTCCAGAACATTTTTCGAAGTTGCGCACTTTCTTTCCAAAACGGACTCTCTATGTAAAACTACAAATGAATATGTCAATGAATAATTCGTAAAACCTGTATTAGAAGACTCGGTATATCTTTTGTTCCAAAGTACTTGGAGGGCCTTTCTATTCAATTAGAGAGGGTTCTTCTATTTTTCCGGCTCTTTTTCCGAAACTTTTCATTTTAAAAATTTATTTGTGAATCCTTTTTCGAAATCAATGAAAATCTATCAATTTCACCAAGATTGAGCAAGTTTTGGAGCAAATTTCTGTAAATTTGTGGAGTTTCTGGATGATTTTCCACTCAAAACGGGCGGAAATTTTTTATTTTGAACAACACATTTTGAAGGAGCTCTTCTATTAGAGGTTTTCCGGTAAATTTAAAACACCGTCGATTCAAATTTTTCCTGGTTCATTTTTGGGGGACAGTTTCAGTATAGATTTTTAAACTAAAAAAAATTCATTTTCAAACTTCTGGACCTCAATTGTCACCTCAACTGGAAGTTTGACCATTATTCATTTGTTTATAGATGTTTACAGTATCTTTCGGAAAAGTTTTCAGTGAGAAAACAAACCTTCCTATATGATTATTCCGCCTTTTTCCCCAGGATAACCAAACCTCACCAGATTACTTTCTGACTCTTTTCTCTTCTATTTTCCGAAAAACTTCCGGAATATTAGGTTGGCGGGAAAGTCTTTGTCACTCTGTTTGTTTAATCACTGTTCTCGTATATGGAGGCTGTGTATGATATCGACTCTAGTGAATAACAAGGTGATAAGAACCTTCCATATAAACAAGTCCCCATTTCCTTCCCTGCTCCTCATCTGTAATTGAAACGATATGTTTGTTCCCACTGCTATTCACATCAGACATGTTTTGATTTACCTCTTCCTATCTCACACCACGATGAAGGATTCGGAAACTTTCTTGAAGAATGTGTACAACACACATGCCCCTCACTACAATACTATTCGCAATTGGTTCCATCGTTTCGAAAAAGATGACTTCTCGCTCGATGAAAAGGATCGCTCTGGGAGACCCCGTGAGTTGGATTTGGACAAGCTGAAGCACGCATTGCAATCGGATCCATTTCAATCTAGCCGTGAACTAGCTGTCACATTCGGAGTTCACCATAGCACAGTCCTTGAAGGTTTGAAGTCTCTTGGAATGAGAAAACTTTTTGGTCGATTCATACCTCATCACCTGACTCAAGTCAACCTTGACCGCCGAGTCGACGATTCGATTACTCTTCTCACTCTCCACGCGGGCGATCGATGGCTGGACCGGCTAATAACCGGAGATGAGAAGTGGGTCTTCTACGATAATCACCACAGGAAATCCCAGTGGGTTGGAGAAGGAGAGAGCCCACAGGATGTCCCCAAACCCGGCCTTCATCCGAAAAAAGTTATGCTCTCTGTGTGGTGGGGAGTGGACGGCCCCATCTACTGGGAACTTCTGCCCGAGGGCAAAACAATAACTGGAGACCTCTACACTACTCAACTACGAAACCTCAAGAAAGCAGTCGACCGTTCGGCCCTGAAAGACAAGAAAGTGTACTATCAACATGATAACGCTCGCCCACATGTTTCGAAACAAGTGAAGCAGGAGCTGATGGGATATGGATGGAATGTTCTCCCTCACCCCCCGTATTCTCCTGATCTTGCTCCTTCCGACTATTGGTTATTTGGCGATATGACACGTGCCTTCGAAGGAAGAAGCTTCAATTCCCGTGGAGCGGTCGAAGCGGCACTCAAACAATACTTTGCCTCACGCCCGGCTGGATTCTACCGCAATGGAATCCATAAATTGAGGGAACGTTGGAGACATGTTGTTGATAATGATGGACAATATAATTAATTATTCGGTTATTTTTTCTTTGAGAAATAAACTATTGAAAAAGTGACAAAGACTTTCCCGCCAACCTAATACAAAACATGTTCCTCTTCTTCCAGGATGTTTCCCTTCTCACCCCCTGCCACCTATCATTATTAATATTATGAAAAACGAAATCAAACAAAAAAACAAATTGTTTCGTTTTGGTCCGTTGCTCATTTATCACCCAGTAGCCGTTCTCCAATTTTTTATGCATGTTTTTCTTCTTTTTTCCTTTTTTTCGGAAGCTAAAAACGGAAATCATTAGTTTTTAGTATATTTTGAATGGCTCACAACGGATTCAGAATTGTTTGGTATACTATGCATTCGAGTGCTGAAAAATCCTATTGTAGGGACATCGGTATGAAATTTGAGACATATTTTTATTTTGGGTTTACTCAACCTTTTTAGTTCAAATCCAAAATTTATGTGTCTTTAAGATGTTGATTTCCTTGCTCAACTTTCTTATATTAATCACGATTGAAAAATGACACCTCCGCATTTGAAAAACCCCATGATTTCCCATTTTCCATTTCCTTTCTCACTTCCTTTATCTTTTCCTTCTCAAATCCAGACTGACAACTTCCATATCGTCATGGTTTCCCGGGGGCATTTTTATGCATTCCGTTTAGTATACATTTTCCTGGTTTTGTAGTTTCTAGGGCACTCACATAAAAGAATGTTTTACGGAATAGGATCACATGCATTTTTTGACTTTCTTTTGCTCTTTTATTCAGTTTTTTGTGAAAGGGAAAAGTTTCAAACGATTCCATGTCGTCATTTTTTAGTTTTAGAACCTCAGATTTACCTCCGAGTTTTCTTCCCATTCAAAAACCCGGAACAGAAGAAACAATTACTTAATTTTGGTTCCGACGTTCTGGAAGAATTCTCTCTTCCTCTCATCACATTCGTCATCTAATTGTCTAACCATTTTCTTTTATTTCCCGAAAATTTTTTCTACCAATTGTCCCTTCCCATTTTCCATAAATTTTTCATCAATTTACCCACATTCGTCTGTTTTTCCAAAGAATCCTTTTTATGTTCGAACCATGACCTAAAAAATACTTTTTTTCGTTGGAACAACAGTTTTCCGGAAACCAATGAAAATCTTTTTACCCTTAGGCACTTCAAAGACACTATTTGAGTCAAAATAAATGGAAAAAAGAAACTTCCCACGCTGAATTGTAATGATTAGTTAGTCAGAAAGTCAAAGGCAAATACTTCCGGATTCCACATTTTCCGGTTTACAAATTCTTTGAATTTTGCTGTCGACACACAAGTCACTATTGTTTCTGTCTCGATTCAAAATTCCATATTTTGTTTTCTTTTTTTGCAGATGCCTGACGGAAACGAGCTGACCGAAAAGCGATTTCGATGCTTCTGCGGAATTTGCCATGTTGTGGTGAGTGCTTTTTTTTCGAGTACAGTGAAACCTGTAATAGAAGGGCACACTGCCACGTTCGAGCTAATTCTTCTTGGCTCCTGTGCAAGATATCGAAAATGTGTCAATTGATAAAACAATTTATCAGTTAACAACTGTTTGATACCTTTGACAGGAACCGAGATGAATTGGGTCAAAGTTAAAAGTGCTTCTATTAAAGGTCTTAGGATGTTATTTATTGGATAGAAGTTATTAGGTTGGCAACTAATTCCTTGTGCATTTTTGTTTTTCACCTTTTCTCTTAACTGAGCTAGAACCATAACCTGTGTGTAACATAATATGGTATATAAGGTAGTAAGGTTGTTCACCATAACCATCATTCGCCGTGCTCTCATTCCGCTTGCTGACGCGATGCCCCGATCCATACCCGATGCTTACCTCATTTGTAATGCTCTATTATTTCTAGTTATTTCTAACCTGAAAGTATCCGATATTCATCACCGCCTGGTGTAAATTTACAAGACAATACCCCCTTAAAAACACCGTTGCAAATTGGTTTGGCAAGTTCAAGAACCAGGACTTCTCAATGAAAGATGAAACTCGTCCCTGGCGACCAGTTCTTCAAGATATAGGCAAGCTGAGAGATCTAGCGGATACCGCGCGAGGCATCGTGTTCGCGAGAGGAATGAGAGCAAGGCAAATCAAGGTTATTGTGAACAACCTTATAATCTTATATACCATATCCGGTTACCTACGTGGTATGGTCCTAGCTTAGTTAGGAGAAAAGATAAAAACAAAAGTGCACAAAGAATTAATATTTTGGCAGTTTCTTTATAGCAGTTTCTTTATACCTTCAGAAAAAAACCAAAAGTAAATTTCAGACCGGAACACAATTATGTCTCATCTGGTATATCCTAACATCCGGATTATCTCTTTTTTTCGGAATGAGATCCACGTGTACCTGGTTGATTGTTCCTATTTGTGTCGTTGGATTGGGAATGTACGCATTCTACTCGAAACGACATAAATTTCTCTATCCGTTTCTGATTATAACTGTTGTCCAACAATTGGTTTGTATGCTCATGGCCACCATCATAACCATTTTCTCTTTGTGCAGTTTCGATACAATGAGACAGATTATTGGTTAGTTTCTCAGAAATGGAGTACTGAGACCTTTCAAAAGTTTCAGGTCACACACTGGATATGGCAGAAGCTCCATCCAAAACTCTAGCACTTTTTGTAGTGTGTGGAACAGTTTCAGCATGTATTCTACTATCGTTTATACATGTTTGGCAAGCCATTATCATTTATACGTAAGTCATTTTGAATAATTTCTGGCTTAAAAAGGTCTTTCTTATTCCAGATGCCTTGAATATTATGAAGACGAATATCGAAAACTGGAAGAAGGATATTGTGTTGAAACATCACGTTTAGATGCCACTGATTATGATGATAGCAGAAGTCGATGTACTCCAGACCCTCCTTATCAACAACGAGAACCAAGATTTCCACTTGTCTGAAAGAATACCTCACAAATTATCTGTAATGTGTTTATTGTTGATAATTATTCTTTTTCCTCTCCTACCATTTTGCCATATTTTTCCCCAATCATCGCCTTCTTTCAATCTCACTTTTCAGTGTTTTCTTGTCAATAATTGGTTTCATTTTATCCCCGGGTTCGTCTTCTTTTCAAGCATTTTATAAAGTAAAGTTTTGAAATACATATATCAAACTTTTTTTTTTCTTTATACACTCAGATAATACTGTATGATGACTAAAACAGGTCATTGCTCAATTGCTATTCAAATGCTAAAATAGTAACCAGAACATAAAAATGATTTATTAAGATTTGATGTCGCAAGAATAATATTTGTAATTTCACAATGCACGAATACAATCTACTTCAAACAATTTAAATATTTCAATGCTCTTCTCAATGCTTGTTGTTGTCCGAAAAAATTTCAATGCTTGTTGTTGTCCGAAAAAATGAAGGTTAGAGAGCAGTTCATGCAAAATGTATACGGTAGGTTTTTTGAAAATCTGTCTGCGTCTCAACCTTCATTTTTAACGAAAGCGATAATACCCTCGTAAGCTAGAAATGTCCAGTTTATCATCGAATTGAAATCCAATCGGAAGATTCGTTTTATCCTCCATATCTCCTGAATTTCTTCTAACCGCCACTTGGCAAATGATTCCATCAACTGGTGAATCTTCCATATCCCATTGGTATATTCGATGTTCACAGAGAATATATGATTCTGTGAAGTAACAAGCCCAAGCGTTGATTGAGAGAATGAAAGAGGAGAACTGTAGAAGACAACAGATGGGCCAGAATTTCTGAAAATTCAAATTCAGACCTATATAGGAGTTCAAAAAAAACTGACCGTTAGAAAGAATGAAACAATTGAGACTGTTAAATGAAACAACCCAAACAAGGCGACATTTATTTTGATTCCAAAAAACGGTCGATTTTCGGGAGGAAGTATCGAATAAGGATCCGAACAAGCATTGCAAATCATCAAATAAGATGCAAGAAAGAAACAGAGAGCCAGAAAGTGAATCAAAGCAAAAATCTGAAATTACTATTAATTTTTGATTTTTTATCCTATGTGAATAAACAACTTACAAATGAATCAAATCTGTAATCTGTTGCAATGATGAATCCAAACAATGTCCAAACCGAAATAATCATCCCAAAAAATCCCAAAATCACATGGTTCAAGTTTTGAGCATTTGGCTCTTTCATATTTTTATAACATTTTAACCAACAACCTACTATAATAACAGGAAATTGGAAACAATAGAGAGGAATTTCTAACAAATTATCTGGTTTTTTGGCTACTGCTACAAATGAAATCCATACACCTAGGAAAGTATGATAAAACGTATAATGAGCTAGTCGAAATGGGCGAAGATAAGTGTAGAGTCTAGAAAGAATTATGATAAGGAACCAGAATGGATTGAGTAGTCCAATTAGGAGTGATTTAAGAATAAATACGTATGTGAATTCAGGTTCATGTAGAAAGCTTATCATTGCTACAGAAGAGGTCCAAGGCTTGGCTGGAGGGGTCGCAAAGAGCAGAAGAAGAGGGGAAAAAAGAAGAGCGACAGAGGGGGAGTTGACCTCTTCAGGGAACACGCAGTAAAATTACACTGAAGATATGTTGGGACGGGATGGGTCTTGGTCCATTTTTGGTTTTTTTTGAATACAGGTCATTATCGATTGTATTGAGGAGACATATGATGCGTGAGAAAGGACAGGAAGAGTAAAATGAAATGGTTGATAGACACATAAGAAGCAAAAACTCAGGGTTAACCTCTCTCCAACAGTTTTTTTTTTCCATAAACAATTTTAAATATAAAATACCGTAAAACCTCTAATAGAACGACACCCGGATCGTCCACTTTGAGCCTATATATCTCATTTCTTTTGAAAGATATCAAAAAGTGGTTAACTAGTATTGTCTATTCAATAAAATGTTTATCAGGATATCAGCAACATTTTACTAGTTAGCCGCTTTTTATATCTTTC